CTCTCACTCACCAATTTTCCCCAGCCGAGTGATTTTCACGACTCTAAACGGGTACTTGTTGATGAAAAATTCACAGCTTCGTCAGTGGTTCGTGGGGATAATGAAGACCCGAGTGGAGTCAAGGGCATTATTCTCGATGCAGTCGGGGAAAATATTCTAGGGACACGTTGTAAGAAATTTCTAGATTCCTCGGTTATGTATAGCTCGGTGGTTCAGGTGAAATCAGTATCGACCAGAGAATGGCGCAAAGATGAATACTGTATTAGATACTTTCGCGGGGCCACTGTTGGATGGGAAAATATGCTGTACTATTTCTATTTCTCGTCGTTGGGTTTCTAAGTTGATACTGGGACTGGAAAATACATTAGCGTTGCAGCGAGATTACGCCCACTGGGGAACATGTGTGAATGAGAAACATGATGTTACGTGCAGAGATGCAAAATGACGGTCATTTTTTAGATCGCGTCAGATGACCAAAAAATGACGGTCATGTGACGCACAAATTTTCCAACTACAAATGATTGTCACAAAGCATTTGTAACTACATTGTTGTCAAACCATCTATATAGTTGCATAATGACGGTCATAACTTATTTCCAATTTGTGACGGTCATGAATAAAACAAAATAGTTTCATCTATACGGATGGAAAAAAAACGTGATTTCCATTTCAAAATGCGGATTAGGCCAATACAAAAGGAATTCAACTGAAAATTGACTGAGAAAAAAATAAATTTTCATCTATATAGATGAAAAATGACTGTCATTTTTTCTTGACAAGTTGTGACGGTCACAGAAGGGGGAGGGGGAATGTGACAGCCGTCATTGACGGTCACATGACCGTCATATAACGGGTCATGTGACGCATTTGCATCTCTAGTTACGTGGGGTGGTGGGACTTGATTCGATAGACGTTATTATGGGGGGTATTTTGGCGCTGAAGAATCACGGAGAAATTTTTTTGGTGAATTTCAAGAAGCAGTTGGTGATTAAATGAATTACCAACCAGTTGGTGAATTTCACCATCTAGTGGTTGAAATTCAACAACTGGTTATTGGGATTCACCAACTGATTGGCAATTCAGTTTTTTCAACAACTAATTGGTGAATTTCACCAACCAGTTGGTGAAATTCAAAAACTAGTTGTTGAATTTGACCAACTAGTTAAAATTCGCCAACTAGTTGTTGAAAAAAAATGAATTACCAACCAGTCGGTGAATTTCAACAAACTAGTTGGGCAAATTTAACAACTAGTTATTGAAATTCACCAAATAGTTGTTGAAATTCAACAACTGGTTGGTAATTCATTTTTTCCAACAACTAATTGGTGAATTTCACCAACTAGTTGTTAAAATTCATTAGCCGGTGAATTTCAAAAACTAGTTCTTAAATTTGACCAACTAGTTTTTAAAATTCACCAACTAGAACAACTAGTTGAACTAGTTGTTGAAAAAAAATGAATTACCAACCAGTTAGTGAATTTCAACCAACTAGTTGTTAAATTTGACCAACTAGCTGTTAAAATTTACTAGCTGGTGAATTTCAAAAACTAGTTCTCAAATTTGAGCAACTAGTTGTTGAAAAAAATGATTTACCAACGAGTTGGTGAATTTCAACAACTAATTGGTGAATTTGAACAACTAGTTGGTCAAATTTAACAAATAGTTATTGGAATCCACCAAGTGGTTGGTAATTCATTTTTTTCAACAACTAGATCGTGAACTTTAGCAACTAGTTGTTGAAATTCACCAACTAGTTGTTGAATTTCACCAAATAATTGTCTCCGTGAATTTCAATTTAATGAAATTGTTGGTTCTTAAAACCTATTCAACCGATGAAACTGAAATTCCGCTTAGAGGTGCATCCGAACAATCGCGATTATTGAAAAAAATCAGATTTTTAGCCTCAACGAGAGCGAACGCGCGCTACAGCGCGCTGTAATTGTAACAATCATAATTGAAAATCTCAAAATGAAATTAATCATGAATTAAATTTGCCGCCTCAGACGACTGAAACCAATGAGGAATAAGCGTGACAGACTTGCGAGATATCGATAGTTATCAATTTTAAGTGTATGTTTTTTTCAGAATAGGACCTATGAATGAAGAGGAAACTAGCGAGAGAATTGCAGTGAAGATTCGATTCGGGGGAATCTAAAGGTGTTCAATTATTTTTTCATCACACTGTCCGTAAAACGTCGTTGAATAGTTATTAAGGCATGAGCGAACTTATTCGCACCTGAAAAATTTTACCCATACGATTATTTGACCCTTAAACCCGCAAAAATCCCTCAAATGGAATTTTCCATTGGCCAAGATTCCGGTAGTTTTGAGCTTCATCTCAAATTTTAATCCTTTTTTTGTCAAGATTTATCAAAAAATCCGGAAAAACCCCATCACACACATGCGCACATACACCCACACATTTTCTAAGAGCATATATTCACATTGCATAACATCCAACATCATCTGCCGGTGAAATTAGAAGATCGTTAAATTTAACAATTACAAAACTTCCATTTGGATCCAAAAAATGAATAAAAATTATTCGCTAGTAAGGATTCGATTCAGGCGAATCTAAAGGTATTCAATTATTTCTAAGGCAAGAGCGAAGTCATTCGCAGCTGAATAAAATTTGCTAACATAATTATATGACCCTTGAACTTTTAAAAATGCATCAAATGCAATTTTCCACTGGCGAAAATTCCCCTAGTTTCAGCTTCATCTTAAACTTTAATCCTTTTTTGTCAAGATTTATAAAAAATTTACAGAAAAAAACTATCACACACATACGGACATACACCCACACATTTTCTGAGAATATCCTCGCATATTACGACATTCTACATCAATTCCAAGCGAAATTAGAAGATCGTTAGATTTAACGATTACAAAGTTTCCATTCGTAGGTAAAAAATGAATAAAAAATGAAATGAAATAAATGCAATGATTAATAGAAATGATTCGCAAATGAAGTTTCGATTCAGGCGAATCTAAAGCCTCAAAACTCGAATCTAAAGGAGTTTAATTGCTTTTTCATTACGCTGTGCGAAAAAGTAACTTTTTAGGCACGCTTCGCATGCCTAAAACGTCCCTTTTCCACACATTGTGATGAAAAATATCGTTCGATACTCGTGGGGAAAGTGTTTTTTGGCTCGTGGGAGGTTTATAGCACGAGCCGAAGGCGACAAAAAACTCTTTTCCGCATTCGTAACGAAATATACTATTAAGGCTTGACCAACCAAAATCCCTAAACCAACGTTCAACATATTTTATTCACAATGAAATCATCACATACAAACACCCTTGCAAATTTTAACAGGGATCCACAAATTTTATCTATTTCGGGCAATAATAACCACCTGTCTAAAGGATCCCGTAAAATTGTAATTTATTTCTTTAAAAAATTGGAGAATTTTCTAGAAAAATCTATATTTTCTAGAGAATTCTAGGATGTTCTAGAATTCCAATAGATGGCGCCACTATCGATAAGGACCCATAAGGACTTTTTCCCTAAATGCCCTCCCCCACTTAATGAAAACAGACGTATCCACGTCAAAAATGAATAAATAAATCGAGCGAGTGGAGACATAAACTTTCCTTCCAAGTTGAACACAGATTACCGCGCAATAGTAACAATCTCTTGTTGTCGAGGACAACGTTGGAAAGGGGGTGTAAGAGGTGGCGACAGAGGTGAAGGGAGGAGGGAGATGAAGGAGAGAAATCCTGAGTGCACACCGCCATCTTTTGCGAATGTACAATCGGCCAAGAGGAAACGAAACATATACTCAATTTCAGCGATGGAATTGCATATGCATTTGAATTTCCAAGCAGCAACGATGCCGGCACTGGCTAATTTGCCTTGTAGATGAAAAACTAGTCAAGACGATGGAAATGGCGAGGGGAATGGGGAAATCGGTGCTTTACAGTGCATCATCGCACTGATAATCATTGCATACATTCAACTGTGGAGACTGTTGCGAGTGGCTGACCTTGGCTAAAATCCTGAACTCTCGCGGCACAATGCCTTCGCATCTCGTTGCCCGTCCATATTATTCTCGTTTTCGTTCCTTCTCCCCTCGTTTTCTCGTTCCCCTTATTTCTTCAATTTTTTTCTCCCTTTCTTTCTCTCTCTAGCGGGCTCTCTCCACTGGATTCCGCGAGTCCTGGGGCTGTACCAACAGAGTAGATGGATTTTTATTCGGCTGGAGGGAAATTATTAAGCGAGAAACAATTCGTTGCGTTAGTTGGCGCATGGAATCAATGAAAGGGTCGAGGTACGCCAAGTAGGTCGCTGCAGATCCTATTGTCAACGATTTAATTTCTGGCCATTGTCACCGTCAACTTGTTATTGTACTGGTCTGATCCGTGAGATAGTTGATTTTTATCGCCAGGGATAATCGATAATCATGATTATTAAGTCGAAGCTGGTATTAGGATTATCTCGGCTGAGGAATGAGAAAATGCGATCGTATTTGTTCAGGCAATTGACCCATATGGGGAGGCAATGGAAGGAAAATTTGATGAAAGATCACTTTTTTAAATCCTACTTCTTTGTATGTGATACCTTTCTCAAAACAGTTTTTGAAATGAATTTGAAGCCAGCGGAGGGCTCAATTTAGGAAATTTTTGAGGGTGTGAGAGCCAAACAATCATATGTACAAATGTTTTTTAGGCAGACTCAAGTATTTTGGATATTTTTTTTCCAGTGAAATGCTTTTCTACTTTTGTAGTTGAAAATCAGAGCTTTCAGTTGAGTCCCATTTTGATTCTAAGTTTCCGGAGATTTTACAGTGATTTTATTATTTAAATTTTGCAAGTCTAAATTTGAATCTTGATATTGAACCGTTAGAAAATATTTTTTAAATCTGAAAAAAAAATTAATGTCAACATTTGGATTGATGAAATAATTTGAAAATTACAATTTTTGAAAATTATGAGCATTTTCTATCAATCATTCATAAACAATGAATGAAAATTCATTTAAAAAAAAAAAAAAATTCTAAGAGAATTAGAATTTAGAGAGAAAAAATTTCTGCTTCACCCAGCCGGGAATCGAACCCGGGTCTCCCAGATACGCGCCGGGCACTCTTACCGACTAAGCTACCGGGAACCACAGAAATTCACTCTCAAATTCACCTCAAACACCGCCTAACCTCCTTTAGGCATTAAAGAATTCTAAGAGAATTAGAATTTAGAGAGAAAAAATTTCCGCTTCACCCAGCCGGGAATGAATGAAAATTCATTGTTTATGGGTGGAAATACTATCAAAAATCATTTGTTCGGAATCATAACAAATTTATTCACATTAAGAATTTTACCAAAAATCCATTTCATGTCTAAAAAAATGAATGAATTTCTGGAAGTTTGGACAATTTTAACTATTTATAAACAACGAATGTTTAAAAAAATGATAAATCTATGCAAAATAGAATTTGAATAACGCTGAATTTTCATCATTTTTTTTCAAATTTTTCTCACACAATTTAACTGACAACTTTGATGATTGAAAATGGTTGAATCTATAGCGTGGCCTGTACCAAATTGTAAAAGATACTTAGATATCCTTAAGGATAGCCAACTACTTTGGCTATTTTTTCTCCAGTGAAATGTTCTTTTACTTTTGTAGTCGAAAATCAGAGCTTTCATTTCCGCCCCATTTGATTTTAAGTTTCCGGACATATAATGATTTTATTACTTAAACTTTGCAAGTCTAAATTTGAATTTTGATATTGAACCGTTAGAAAACATTTTAAAAATTAGAAAAAAATGAGAAATTTTGCTTTTAGAAGAAGATTGATGAAATAAATTAGAAAGTGCAATTTTTGCAAATTGCGAGCATTTTCTGTAAATCATTTATAAGCAATTAATTTTCCACCGTAAAAATCATTGGTTCGGAATCATAACAAATTTATTCCTATTCAGAATTTTACCAAAAATCCATTTCATGTTTAAAAAAATTAATGAATTCCTAGAAATTTAAACAATTGCGACTATTTATAAACAACGAGTGTTTAAAAAAATAATCATCCTGTGAAACTCACGATTTTTTTTTTCAAATTTGTCTCACAAAATTTAATTGCCAATTTGACTGACTGAAAATGGTTGAATCTATAGTGTGGCCTGTACCAACAAACTGTAAAAAAACTTAGATATCCTAAAGTGTGAAAGAGTTTGTACAAGACTTAAAAACCCTTGTCCTCCTCCTCCGCAGGCGAATCATTCATAAGCAATTAATTTTCCACCGTAAAAATCATTTGTTTGGAATCATAACAAATTTATTCCTATTCAGAATTTTACCAAAAATCCATTTCATGTTTAAAAAAATTAATGAATTTCTAGAAATTTAAACAATTGCGACTATTTATAAACAATGAGCGTTTAAAAAAATAATCATCCTGTGAAACTCACGATTTTTTTTTCAAATTTGTCTCACAAAATTTAATTGCCAATTTGGCTGACTTGAATAATAAAAAAAAATTTGGCCGACTGAAAATGGTTGAATCTATAGTGTGGCCTGTACCAACAAACTGTAAAAAAACTAAGATATCCTAAAGTGCGAAAGAGTATGTACATGCCTTAAAAATACTCGCCCCCTGTTCCGCTGGCGAATCTTGCTCACTTTAGCTTCACGTTTTCAATCAACTAAAATTGACGATAAATCCTCAATCACCGTTTCAACATTACTGTTCCAGCCTTTAAGAAACCGATGAAATTGAAAGCGGTGCATGCAGGCATCATCGCACCCGCTGGCCCTCTCAATCCCCAGCAGTTGACATAAGTAATAAATTAAAACCCAAAGAGTAGCCAGTAAAGCCTTCAAGACGTCGACCCAGCCAGCGAGCAAATCAACAAGTGGGGCGGCTGGAAGCTGCGGTACCGAGGTTAAAGACTCCCCGGGGCCGTTGCCTGCGCCACCGCCATCCACTTCACCACCGCCGGTCCACCATCCAGCCCTAAATGCTGGAGTTGTCGAGCCCGAGGTAGATAAACTTACAAATCAACCCAATTGTGTGGACACCACCGTGGAGGACACAGTGGTCGGTGGAAATGGCGACGACGAAGCTGTTAAAACTGAGACCACCATGAGTTTGCAAACAACCACTGACACTGACCAACCCTCGAGGCCAGCCACACCACCACCACCAGCACCACCACCAGCAGCAGCAATAATGTCGGGGAGTGTGGTGGTAACGAACAAGGCGACTGTGGTCTACCCGATAAACCAAGTCAAAGTTCAGCCCCAATTGAGTGCAAAGCCTCGTTCTGCGAGTCCTGGAGTCATCACAAGTGCAGGAAAATTAGCGATGATCCCTGGTAACAACAAGATCCCAATGGAGGGCCAGAAAACCTGCCCTGCAGGCACCATAACTCCAATTCTAGCCACACGAATCATACCCCAGAGGGTGCCTGGTGTTCAGCAGCACACAGTGACGACTTCCTCGTCGATAACTCCCCAATCAAAAATTGTCATCAACAATGCAGTGACTTCTGGCCAGATTCCAATAACCTACGAAGCTGTTCAAGTAGCCAATCACCAGCAAACAGCCATAATCCAAGGCATCCAGCAGATTCAAACACTCCCCACAGGCACCGTGAAAACAGTATCATCGAACATCACAGGAGTCTCCAATCTCCACAGAATCCAAACAAACGCTAAAGGACCACCTGTCAATTTCCAGAAGGTCAAGACAATTACGAGTGTGAGTAATCAGACGACAGTTGTTTCCAAGAATTTAGTTTCACGGATTCAAGTACCAAAATCACAGATCACTAACGCTGTACATCAGATAACACCGATGACTGTTAATCAAGTTATAACGAGTGTCAATAATGCTCCAAGATTTCAGCCGAATGCAACGATAACTGTGCAAAAATCACAGGTGAGCAGTCAGCGATTGAATCCAGGAAACGGTGAGAATCATCAGAATAACAAGGCTCAGGGCATTCAGTCACAGGCCCAGAAAGTGGCTGGACCGTCCCAGAAGGCACAAAATGTTCCAAGACAACAGTCGCAATCCCAACAAAAAATGAACAGTATGAAGAAGGGAGCTGTAGCTGGCCTACAAAAAGCTCCGATTCAGAACCACCAGGGGTTGACTAATGCACAAGCCTCAGCAACAATGCCTGGAAATCAGAGTCGAAGCCTGGGAGCGCCTGGAAATATTCTGAAAAGTGATAATAGTAATAGTACCAGTAATTCACAATTGAACGTGACAAAAACATCACATGCAGCTGTCACGGTTGTCAGTAAAAATCAGACTGTTGTTCAGCAGATTATTCCCCAGGGACAGCCACAGCAGCAGATTATTCAGAAACAGCTGGGGGGAGGTGCGCAGAGAATTCAGGGAAATGTTAATATACAGCCGAAGGTTAATGTTGTGACGCAGGGCTTGACGAGTTTGCCGGTGAATGCAAAGGGTTCGACGATTATAAATGCCAAGATTCAGCAGTCACAGCAGCAGATGCTACTGAGATTGGAGCCGGGGAAGAGTCCAGCTGGGAATATTCAGGGGAGTGTGAAGACAATCGCGCAGAAGGGGAATGTGATGAAGAATTCACCGATTGTGGCGCAGCAGTCCCTCCAGAGAAACACGACAGTTCAGCCAGTGAAAATAATCCAGCAGGGAGGGCAGAGTTATCCAGCTGGTTATCCTCAGGGGGTCCCCCAGAAGCAACCTGGATGCATCAAGACCATTCCGGCGCAGAAGCCACAGCAGAGGAGTCAGGTACAGTCGAAACCTGGAATAAAAACATCACTCAACACCAATATGAACACCTTGAAGACCATTGGCACAGCCAATACAACAGTGATAACCCAGAAATCCAGTATAAAAACACTGCTTCCACATCAACAGAATACTTCCAGTGTTGTCGTCCAGAAGAGCCAACCGATTAAGATTCAGTCGACTAATCTCCAGCAGAAGCAGCTGTTTGTGGCTTCGCAGTTTGCTGGACAGCAGCACCAGCAGGGCCAACAGCAAGTGAGGCATGGACAGATAAAGACTATTTTACCTGTTACTTTGGCGTCAGAGATACGCAAAGAGATGGAATCTAAAATTGAACCCGAGAGCCAAATGGTTGTGAGAGGCGAGTATGAGGAAGAGGAGCTTAAAGCTGTGCAACACTCACCAGTTCGCAGAATGCCCCTTCCATATGAGGTAACGTTTTTTTTAGGATGAAAGGTAGTGTTTGAAATCATTCAGTAATTCAGGTGAATTTTGTTTTCGTGTTTTGATATTTTCTTTTGAAAAGTTTGCAATGAAATTCGCAGAATAGTTTTCAATTGAAGTTGAAGTTCTTAATTAAGACCCGGGTGTACTATCTTTCGAATGTTATCTGGATTTTTTTTATCTTTCGTAATCCAAAATTGTCAATTGAGTGGTACATCATATAAAAATTCCCAAAAATTATGATAGAATGATTTAAAAAAATAGAAAAAATTCTGAACTTTTTCAAAGAGCGTTTTTAATTGAGATTCAGAATGAGTTGAAAAAAGTGGAAATTATAAATATCTAATTCGCTGTGGCAAATTATCTATTAGCTGTCATTTTCCATGGTGGATAACAAAACACTAACTCCTCGTGGGAAGTGACAGCTAGGTATCTCAATTTTCAAAACAGTGGTATATAGTCATTTGCCATTTTTATGTGATAAAAGTGTGATTAAAAAATTCTCCAAAATATTACAACTTTTTTCAAAGACCTTTTTCCGTAATAAAACTCGTCTCTGTGCAGTGTGGGAAAATATTTACGAAATCAGTCGTCCCCCTGCATGATACTGGGTGACAGGCCGCCATTTGTCACCGTAAATCAGATACATTTTTCAATTTCTTGTTATTCAACTTATTCTGAATATAAATTAAAAATGCTCTTTATGAAAAAATTAAGAATTTTTTCTACTTTTTTTTGATTATTCATTCATAATTTTTCAAAACTTCTTCATGATGCAGGACTTAATTGACAATTTCAGACGACGAAAGGTAAAAAAAAACATCGAGATAACGTTCGCAAGATAGTACACCCGGGCCTTAATAGTTGAAATATTCGAGACTTTGTGATTTGGAAGTATTAATCAGAGGTGACGAATGAAAAAAAAACAATGTTGAAATTCAATTGTCACTTTTGATTAATTTAAAGCAGTAAATGGACATGTAGAATTGCTTAAATTGATGAACAATACAGAGTTAACGAAGAGGAATTAACTGTATTTGAATAGTTCCCTTGAAAAGAATACTAGGGGGTAGTCTGGTGAAATAAACCATAATTGTAAATACCTAGAAAATGAAAATGTAAATAGACCAAATTTATTTAAATCGCATTGTTTAGAAAAAAAATGTAGAGAATTGAAAACATTTTATTTTCCTCTCTTCCGAGAATTCTCTTCTCTATTTATCGAGTATGGAAAATGCAACAGGAATGAATGGAAGTGAAATAGTTTGAGGCTATCTGAAAGGAATGTTTGATGGACTTTCGAAATATTTTTATCCCAATATTTGAATTTTTTTTTTCCTTATTGATGAAACGTACAACAAAAAAAGTGAACAGCAATCTGAATTATAACAGTACTTGATAAATACTGATAGATTCTCTACAATAGATTAGCTGAAGGAACTCGGGCGATGGCCAGACAAATTTCATTAAAAATAAATTCATAAATGAGAAATAATACAGAGACATTGGAAATTATGAAAGAATTTCGTAACACAATTTTATACATGACGAATAAAATTAGTACCACATGGTAATTCCAATTCATTGCGCGAGTCCTCCGGTGAATAAAATCGGCAATAGTATTTCATTTCAGTCTTAAAAGTGAAGATGAATAAATAATAATCATTTTTTCGATATTATAAATCTGGAATAATTACTTCCAACAGTATTCCATCTTGAAAAACCACTTGAGACACTTTTCGATTTCATGTTCATACACTGGTCTCCAGCTCTATAATTGACTTGTAATATCAAATCAATTTATCAACTGAAATAATGAAAAACGAAAATTGGATGAAGAATATTACGTAAAATTATGCATTTTTATATTTTGAAAAATCATGCAAAACTGAAAAATAAGATTATGAGGTCATAATAGAGATATTTTCAATGGCCTATAGCATTTTAATTCTCCATTCTTTGTCGGATTAAAAAAATCCATGTCCAATATTTTTCACCCAATTCTGATACCCAACAGTTGAAAAATTCCATGTAAAACCCCAATTGCTGAATGAATGATGAATGAAATATTATTCTTTCACTTGTACTCATATGTATTGAATATTTCCTCCACACTTTTGGAAATGTTTTGAAATTTCATGGAAGATATGATAGTAAATTTCATGAGAGTGACATTGAATCGGATTTAAGGAAAAAATGGTTTTGAAATTTCAAGTTTTAAGTCGAATTCACGGAAATTCATGAGTTTTCAGTGGCAGTGAGATGGAAATTTCACAACTCGATTGAATTTTCAATGAAGCATGAATATTCAGAAACAAAATGACATGAATATTCAATTTTTTCCTGAATTTTCCTGATTTTTCTGATTTTTCCTAGAATAATTTAGCTAAAAAATCAAGTGCTTTATTGATTTTCAGATCATTCAAACAGAAAATCAATGGAATATTTTATTTTTCAATCACAAAATTCCCTGAAATTTAAGTGAAAAACTTGATCACGACAAAAATTTCCGGAAATTTCAGAACTCAAATTTTCAATCGAATTTAAGGAAAAAATGATTTTGAAATTTCAAGTTTTAAGTTGAATTCACCGAAATTCATGAGTTTTCAGTGGCAGTGAGATGGAAATTTCACAACTCGATTGAATTTTCAATGAAGCATGAATATTCAGAAACAAAATGACATGAATATTCAATTTTTTCCTGAATTTTCCTGATTTTTCTGATTTTTCCCAGCATAATTCAGCTAAAAAATCAAGTGCTTTATTGATTTTCAGATCATTCAAACAGAAAATCAATGGAATATTTTATTTTTCAATCACAAAATTTCCTGAAATTTAAGTGAAAAACTTGATCACGACAAAAATTTCCGGAAAATTCAGAGCTCAAATTTTCAACAGTGCCCCCTTGAACCCCCACTTCCCCAGCGCTAATAAAAATTCTCCCAATCTTCGCTTGCAGTGCCTCCAGTTTGTCCTCCAGGACCACAACTACGGAGCGCCGCCCCCACGAACGCCGCCGCCCTCCTCACCGCCCCTGAAACAACAACCGATAAACAACGGGACAGGCCCAGCCCTCCCGCACCAGTCATTCATCTACAACCAGGGTGTCCCAATAACCACCAACACAGCAGACGACGCAGCGAGTGCAATCAGCAGTGAGCCAGGCAGAGAAGTCGAGCCCGAGGGTGAGGAGACTGAAACAGCCCCCGAGGGTGAGGGCGACGAGGAGGACAGCATAACCCGCTGCATCTGCGAATTCGAGCACGACGACGGCTACATGATCTGCTGCGACCGTTGCCTTGTGTGGCAGCACGTCGACTGCATGGGCATCGACAGATCGAACATCCCTGACGAGTACCTCTGCGAGATCTGTCGTCCGCGTCGAGTGGATCGTCAACGAGCCCGCACCCTCCAGATGCGAAAACGCGAGGAACTCCTGAACTCCGACACCTCCTCGGACACCTCCTCGACGTCCTCAGCCGACACGAACGTCCCCGCGCCCCCAAACCCCAAAAAACGAAACATCCAGCAATCACGAAAGAAGGCAGAAACACCATCGCAAACCCGAAGGCTAAATAACAACAACAACGAGAGCAACAGCAACCACAATGCCCTGAGCACGACCCCCATCGCCACAATTCCACCGACACCCAACACAACTCCAAGCTCCGACATCGCGAGTGCTCTGACAGCGAACACAACAGCCTCGAACCCCACGAGCAACAGCAACAACAACACGACCACAAACAACAACAACGTGACCAAGAGGCCTGGCAGACGAGAGCAAAATCCCCGACAATCGAGTGTCCAATCGAGAAAGAAGGAGGCAGTGAAACGTGGTCCTGGCAAGAGAAAAGGGAAGCGCAGACGAAGCATAAACGACGACGACGAGAATCACGAGTCCTGGGGATCGACAGTGGTGCCCCTGAGACAGTGGATCGAGCGATACGAGGAGGCAGTGACGAACCACTACAGTCCAGAATTGAGAGCGAGAATATGGAGCATCAAAGTCAATGGCACCCACGGTGACTCCAGACAGAATAACAATAACATGAGTGCAGTGGCTAGTGGCAAGTGTCGAGTTAATGTTCACAGTAATAACGTCAAGTATCTGATGGCGACCATGTATTTGCCCCCTAATACACCAGTTGTTGAGCTACGAGGGAAGTACATGCTTAGTGCACAGCACAGGCCAGCCCATCATGGCCAGGGGAGACAGCACGCCCAGCGTCCTGGGCCATTTGTGTTCTTCTACCGATTGCCACGTGACGAGACTGAGGTGTGTGTTGACACAAGGACATATGGGAATGACGCGAGATTCGTGAGACGAAGTTGCACACCCAATGCCGAGGTGAGGCACTGCATCGAGAAGGGGACACTTCATCTGTACATCGTGACGACTTCGGCGATCGATAAAAATGCGGAGATAACGATTCGTCACGAGCAGCACAATCTCCTGATGTCGCCGAATAGTTCAAATACGAATTCCGTTGGGAATTCAACGCTACCACTGGCGTGTGCCTGTGGCAATCCTCGAACCTGTCAGATTGCTTCGGTCGTGGTGGGACAGGTGGGCCCGACGAGGAGGAGCAGCAGTGGTGCCTCTGCGGATAATTCAGACGGTCGAGAGAGGAGACGAAGAGGAAGGAAGAACACGACCCCTGAGGAGGATGCCGGGGCGGCTGGTGGTGCAGCCAGTGCTCCTCAGAGTTTGTCAACGACACCAAGTTCGTCTAACGAGCCCACTGCAAGTGGAACTCTGGGTGCAACACCTAAGAGAGCTGTTGAGCCTCGTGACAAGCCGAAGGAGGAGGTGCCCCAGGTGGCGCAGCTGCCGCCAGCCCTGGCTGATCCACCTCCGCAGATACCCTCGCAGACGTCGACACCCAGTGACACCCCTCCCCAGGAAACGAAGAAGGACAAGAAGAAGATGACACGTGAGGAGAGGAAGATGGAGGCGATAATGAAGGCCTTCGAGAGGCTGGAGAAGGCGGAGCAGAGGAAGCAGGAGGTGCAGGCGAGAAACGCCCAGAGGAAGGAGTCCGGGGGTGCGCAGAGTGACAACGACGACAGGGATCACCAGCCAATTCTCAGTCATCCCACGAAGACCCAGAAGCATCACGTGGAGAGGCCTGTTCGACGTAAGAGGAGAAAGGGGAGAGCCAGGACCACCAGCACTTCCCAGTCGTCCAGCCACAGCAGAAGAACGAGATTAAACTCTGCGGATTCAGATCTCTCCTCAGCTGACGACGATCATCTGGGGGCTCTGCAGTCCCCACCCTTGAGGCGGCCACCCTGCTCGTCACTCTCATCAACCAGTCAAATGTACTCTCCATCGAAGAGTGATATGACATTACGAGACTCTGGAAATCCCAATCCAGTGATTCCCACAGCAGCTGATCTCCTCCTGGCGCTGGCCAACTCCAATGTCCCAGATGCTGGGAGATCAATGTCACCAGATCGAACCCTTCAGCAACCGGCGCTGAGTAAAAGCCCAACGTGTGACAGTGGGGCGAGCAGCAGCTCCCAGAGCTCGACACCGTCCACACCTCTGTCGTCAGCTTGTCTGCTCGTTGCTGCTGCTGTTGGGCCACTGGCGCCTGGCTTCAAATTCCCAAAGACCAAAAAGGCGATGATGAATGAGTGGCTGAGGGAGTCACCAGATTTATCCCAGCTGCCACCCAGGACCCTGCCTCTCGTCTCCACGATTCCAGTGTCGAAGGAGTCACCTAAAGGAAGTGATCAACTGTCCTCAGACTATCTGAATCAGTCCATAAACTATGGGGCCAAGAGTCTGGCGACTCTTGTTCAAGCTGCCAACTCAGTCTCTGGAATTTGCGATTCTCCTCCCCAGAGGAAGGGAGCAGCTTGTGCCAATGCACAGAATCCCCAGTGCCCTGTGTCATCGGGATCAGCTAAGAAACGGTGGTTGAGGCAGGCTATATCTGAAGAGTGCGATTCACCGAACAGCAGGCCTGACAGCCCTCCCAATGAGACTGTGGCTGCACCACCGAAGAAGAGGAGAATAGCCAGGGAGAGTTTATCCTCGGATAATTACACTCCGCCAACTACTCCCACCCCTTCCACTGCTGATTGTGCTCTGATGGGACTGGGCATTGGCGATCACTCGGTGTCGGCGTCTGTCGACAACGTCTCGGAGAGGCCGGCCTTCCTGTCCTCATCGTCACGATCGTTATCCCCCACGACGTTGGAGAGACAGATCAAGAGTTACTTGGACGCTGAGATGAAGGAGGAGGAGCAGTCGGACATGAAGAAATGTGAGTTCTACGATATTTGTAAGATTGAAAAAACCGGTGAAATTGATGAGGACATACCCGTCAAACCTGATAGCCCACAGGGGCTTGATGACAAATTATGTTTGAGTAATGCAATGGTTGATATTAAAGTAGATGATTCGATAAAAATGGAATTAAAAAATGAACTGTCTGAGGGGGTGAAGGATGAGCCGACGGAGGCAGACAGTAATCAAGGTGATATTGAGTTTAAGTTAAACATAAAGACTGAAATCCAGAGTAAATTGGAGGAATCGAGTTTGGATCTAAATATTAAAATAATAGAGAATACGGTTTCTGTTTGCGATAAGAGTGAGGAGAAGAATGTTGACACTGTGGGGTTGGAGCCCAACGACACTGAGACTAGGCTTGAGTTTGATAACAGCAGCACATCGGAGCCAGGAATATCGAGTATTAGTGTTAGTCCGAAGAAGGAGGAGAGCTTGGAGGAGGAGAGGTCGAATGAGACCAGCAAGGACGAGCTGAAACTGGATGAGCCCATGTCGTTGGACGAATTCGATGTCGAGGCTCAGATGAAGAAGATCACTGGGGATGATGGGGACGACTACAAGGAGAAGATTGAGAGCTCTTCGGAGAGGGACAAGAGTTTCGATGGGATTGAGGGCCTCATGGAGAGCTCCAAGGAGGACTCGGGGTCCTCTGACAGAGACGACGACGTTGAGTTGAATTTCAAGACTGTCAAGGCCTCTGGGGATCAGGGGAGGGACGTCAAGGAGCCTGATAACGTGGAGGAGCGAGCCTTCAAGGAATTCGAGACCCTGGCTAGTCTCGAGGTGCTCAACGCTGCTAAGGATTCACAGGAGCAGAGCAAAAATGAGTCAATTGCTGCTGCGGGCAATTGCTCCTCGGAGGAATCAATGTTCGATTCGATATCCAATCTCGACTGCGAGTCTGTCAATGAATCCCCGAAGATATTTCAGTCGATTCCACCGTTGAGTGAACGAATTCGAAAGAAAAATGAGAGCTCGTCGGCTCCCAAGAAACAGCTGGACTTCGAGGCGGCGATTATTGAATCGACTATTGATATGGAGTCGGTGGAGATGTCGAATGGCGAACACAAGACTGAATTGTCCACTGCACTTCGTCAGCTGCTGGAGGGAAAGGTCGACCAGGAGCCAACGGTGGTGAATAGTACGAGTTCGATGGATAAAGAGCCTGGAAGTCCACCGTTGCAGCATATCAATGAGTCCCCAGAGGCCACACGTTCCCCAGAAATTCCGAGTCTCGTGGCGATTGATGCGCCGAAATGTGTGGATCCAGTATTAGTAGTTGCAGCTGCGATTTCTCAAGTTCCACCCCCACCACCGCCTCCATTGTCCCCTCAGGGGGTGCCACCGGTGCAGGCTGAGGTGAAGAGACTGAAGGATCCACGAACGGCGCCTCATGAGAGACCACCGCCGGACGCGCCTCCACCGATCAAACGGAAATTGTCGATATCGGAGTATAGGAAGAGGAAACAGCAGTCTACGGGGACTCCAACTGAGCCTGAACCGGCGAATGATGCGTCCTCCTCGGAGAAGAGTCCGGGACGGGGGAGGTCGGACAGCGCCAGCAGTGGCACATCTTCACTGAGCTCTGATGAGGACAGTGCGAAGACCACTGTTGAGACTGCAATGGCCTTGACTAATTTGTCGCTGTTGACCGCTACTGATGGCGAGGAACGGAAAGGTAAGGGTCGTTGGGGCTTTGCGATCGAGCTGCGAGATATTTAAGGGTGCCAAGTGAATTTGGCGATGACCTTGAAAATTCACATTCACCAACAAAGTTATAATTTTTTTAATTAATAGTATTAGACAGATGGTGAACATCGGTGACAATTTTAAAATTTTTAAACTTATGGATATCGAGAAATTAAATAAACAAAATCAGTCTTATACGCGGCCTCTTATGGAGTTTTGATTAAATTGAACGTTTCAACCCCCTAGGAACTCAAGAAAAATTTGAAAAAATTTGAAGATATGGGGAATGATGTGTTCAATGTGATGGCGAAAAAAAACAATGGGGTACCGGGATGGGATGGATGAATACATATTTCTCCAATGATGGAGGGAAAGAAAAAATTTTTTTTGAATCTTTTTTCAAATTCACTTGGCACCCTTAAGCACTTGTGGAGTGGTGGGACGAGATTGTTTTTAAAATTTCTTTGGAAGATTTTGTGGGTTCAGGAATAGCCGTGTCCATAAATTGTAATTACCAAAATAAGAACGGTCAGGGATTCCATTGGATTTTACATCACGCAGGAGTCTCTAAAAATTATGATTGTACAATCAAAAAAAGTAGAAAACAAACTGAACATTTTCAAAGAGTGTTTTTAATAAAGATTAGGGAATAAGCCCGATAGAGTGGAAATAGTGAATGGATAATTTATCATGGTAACTAGCGATCTGACAACCATTGACTACTGTGACAAATGATGATCGAACAGCCATTAGATACATCAAATTATTAAATTACAATTTCCTCCCTATTGGGCTTATTTCCCAATATTCAAAAACGCTCTTTGAAAATGTTCAGCTGTTTTTCAACGCTTTTTTGATTGTACAATCATAATTTTTGGAGACTCCAGGGCTATGTAAAAATGAATAGAAATTGGAGATCATTTCAGATTATCAAAATAAAAAAAAACAATCAGGATCGCGTTCGAAAGATAATCCACCCGGGCCTTAAGACAATAATCTTAGTCCCAGAGCTTTTGGAGTGATTGATCTGATGTAAAGTTGGCCTTGTCCTGATAATTTCCCCCAATTTTAATATAAAATAATCCGCCACAATCTGTGGTAATTGAGTTAATTAATTATTTCGTAAACAGAACCAAAAAATTCTCCGAGTAGAAAAATAAATTAGATCTGCAAAAGAGGTCTCTATGGAAAGTTTACAGCCTCCCTTGTATTCCTAGATTCTCACCAGTAACTGATCTTCAGATGAAATCAGTAGCGAAGCGGTAAACCGGGTTAAGTCGATTTTTCCTTTTCGCCATTTTTTGATGAATATCTCGGAATCTAAGAGAGATAGCAAAATTTTGCTCATGACCTTTTTTGTAACCCTCAGTTGGCTCTACAAAAAAGGTTATCACAACAATTTTTGTATCTCTTTTAGATTCCGAGATATTCGTCAAAAACTGGTCAATAGTTAAAATCGACTTAACCCGGTTTACCGCTTCGCTCGTGAAATTTACCCGTCTCGTTTCATCACTTCACTTCTGGAATATTGAAGAACTCTACTAGTATTATAAAGTTGCCACGCGTTTTGATGTAAAATGGTTTTAAAAGCAGGCTGGTGTGCAAGGTTAAGATTTAGTGTGTTTACAGGCGGGGAGGAAGGAACAATTGGTTGGTCAGCAGCACCAACTCTCGTCGAAAGACAAAGGGAAAACCTTACTGAAAGACTGAAACGTGAATTTGGATTGTTCCTAAGTGACGATGAGGAAGAACGAGCTCGAAAACAAGGTAGAGTCACTAGACCATATTTTCCAACCTTTCATGTATTCAAGGGATAACAAAACGTACTTCATGCATTACATTTTTTAATCATCAAATAATTTTTGGTGCTCATTATTTTGCATTTTTTTAAAGGGACTATGATTGTTCTGCTAGTTCTTATTCCTTAATTAATAAATACAACTAATGAAAACACATTAATAATGACAAATAGCGAAATTATTGGGAAATGTCATATATTCATCATGTTCTATTATACCTCAATTGCGGTTGAGCATATAATTTTTGCATTGTAATGTATGAAGACTGATTAGAAATGTTGAACTGTATTTTTTTCACTTCTACGAACCGAAAAAAGATGTTTCTAGTTTCCAAAACCAAATTCAATACCAAAAACTTACTCAGTTCAAGTCAAAAAGAGAACCTTTGCCTTTTTAAATTAACAATATTCGAAAGTGATAACATTCTGAAATAATTGAACATTAATTCAATATTAATTGAGTCAAAGTCCGGGTGTACTATCTTTCGAACGTTATCTCGACGTTTTTTTTTCATCTTTCGTCATCTGAAATTGTCAATTAAGTCCTGCATCATGCAGAAGTTTTGAAAAATTATGAATGAATAATCAAAAAAAAGTAGAAAAAATTCTTAATTTTTTCACAGAGCATTTTTAATTTATATTCAGAATAAGTTAAATGACAAGAAATTGAAAAATCTATCTGATTTACGATGACAAATGGCGCCCTGTGACCCAATATCATGCAAGTGAAAGACTGATTTCGTAAATTTTTTCCCACACTGCACAGAGACATTTATTACGGAAAAGGCTCTTTGAAAAAAGTTGTAATATTTTGGAGAATTTTTTAATCACACTTTTATCACATAAAAATGGCAGATGACTACATACCACTGTTTTGAAAATTGAGATACCTAGCTGTCACTTTCCATGAGGAGTTAGTGTGTTGTTATCCACCATGGAAAATGACAGCTAATAGATAATTTGTCACAGCGAATCAGATATTTGTAATTTTCACTTTTTTCAGCTCATTCTGAATCTCAATTAAAAACCCTCTTTGAAAAAGTTCAGAATTTTTTCTATTTTTTTAATCATTCTATCATGATTTTTGGAAATTTCTACACGATGTACCACTCAATTGACAATTTTGTTTTACGAAAGATGAAAAAAATCCAGATAACATTCGAAAGACAGCACAGCCGGGCCTTAAAATGACACTAGATATACTCACCGTCAGAATAACGAAGCATTGATAAACATGCTTCCATTAATTTTACAACAGAAAAAATTATCAATTCAAAAACGAGAATGCAAAAAAAAAGGCAGACATTTTTTTTTCTCAGTACAACAACAATAGTTCCCCTCATCATCTAATTCACATTATTTCCACCAGGTCTAACAGCAGAAGCCATCCTGAAGGCTCGAAAGCTGTCCTCCCCACCCCAAGTGACGCTATCGGGTGCAGCAATGACGTACAATCCAGGAATGCCCCCTCAACTACCACCTCAGCCCTACATACCACCACCAGGCTCAGCACCAATTCACTACACACTGTTGCCGGGTAAGGCTACGTCCAGCCAGCAGTACCAAAATTTCACCCCCCCAAATCCACCCCCCACAACATCCCCAAGTGGTGCTACCAATCCCCCCAAACAGCCCCCCCAATTCCTCATGCCCCAAGCCCCCCCAGGCTCAAACCCCTATCCCCCCCAATTTCCCCCCACCGCAAGTGCTATCGTCACAGCTCCCCTCTTCACTCCAAACACCCCCCCCCCCCCCCCCCCCCCCCCCCCCCCCCCCCCCCCCCCCCCCCCCCCCCCCCCCCCCCCCCCCCCCCCCCCCCCCCCCCCCCCCCCCCC